TGTCATTGTTCTAAAAATATTTGTAATGTATATTAAAAAGGATAAAAAATACTTGCAGAAATATACATTATTTTTGTTCCTGTGGGAATACAAGGGGCCAGAGAGATGATGCAGTGGTTAAAAGTGCACATTACTCTTGCGGAGAACCTCAGCACCCACACTGGGTTTGCTCACTGCCTGTGTCTTCAGCTCTAGAGGTATCTGATGCCCTCTTCTGGTTTTCATAGGCACTTGCACTGATGTGCACACACCCCTCCCCCATACACATGATTGAAATAAAATAGATCTTAAACAAGCAAAAAAGCATTCCAAACCAAAAAAATGAGATATGGAGTACACTGCCAAACTTGAAAGACACCCTTTAACCTGATTTGCTTTTAAGGACCGATAAAAGGAAAGAACGTGAAATGCACAGAATACATTTTCACCAAAAGATATCCCGACAAGATTCTACATTTATACTTTTATCTCCCAGTATCACGCATGTCCTCAGACAGACAGACACATACACACACACACACCACTCGTTATGTCTGATGAATATTGTGTTGCAAAAGGAATCAGCAGAGAAATCCTGTTCTCACAACAATATGATTGTGTTTTCAACCACATGTTTGTGTGCTGAGTCAGAGAGATTGATCTATAGTTTGGGACTTCACTATCAAAGAGAAATGTTGGATATCTTTATGCTCGATGACAGAGAGAACATATGCACATCTGTAGACACACCGTTCTAGAGCATTTGGGCCACTACTTTGCTTGTGTGTCCAGAGCTGTGGCTCCTCCAGCTTCCTAATGCTGTGACTCTTTAATGCATTTCCTCCTGTTGTAGTGATCCCCCATCCCTAAAATCATTTCATTGCTACTTTGTAGCTGTCATTTTGCTGTTATGAGCTGTGACATAAATATCTGATATGCAGCACCCATGGGAGTCATGACTCACGGGTTTAGAACCACTGGTTTGGAGGCCAAAGTCAGTACTAATCCTACTGGTGAGACCACACAGAGTAAGAAGTCAGCACAAAAGTGGAATTCCAGATGAAGTTATCCCAGTGCAGGCCATTTTCCATGATGGGAACACCAGCTCAGAAAATGCAGATCATCTCAAGAGTTTTTTATTATCCTAAAAAAAAAAAGCCATACTGTTTGTGGAATGCTGATATATGTTGGTTTGAAACTAAAAGAATAGCTATGAATAGTGATTTTTTTCCTACTTAATGTCTGTTATATTGAAAAATACTTTAAACTCTGAGTCCTGATTTTATCATTTGTAAAATAGACTCCATACAGCTCTTCAGTTGAAGAATTAGGCACTATGTGTATAAAGTATTTTCACACAGATGTTGGCCAATAACTATCACTACTGTTAATGATAATAAATAAGACTGACTGCCACACTGTTGGTTTTGGAGCTGGAACTACATGGAGCCCTCAGGTTCAGAAATGAGTCCAGGAATAGGAAAGTCTGCTGGGAACACCTCGTCCCTTGGCACTTCTACCTGTCTCCTCGGGGTGGGGTGAGATCTGGGTGTGGAAAATGGCAGATGCTGGTTTCTGTTAGTGTCATAGCACACTTCCATTTATGATGCACTGACCTTAGAGCCTGTTCTGTGGCAGATGTGATACCTCGTTGTGACCTTCCATGTATGGCCATGTAAGTGGAGCTCGAGAAGGGTATTTTCTTTGGAATAGGGCGAGGTGATGCTATTTATTGTAAACAATAATATTTGCTATGTCAGAGCTCAGAAAGTGACTACAAACTACAGATCGTAGAACCAAAATTTTTCCCATCTTCCTTCTTCATTTCTCTTATCCCTCATTCTTTTCTAGGCAGATCATAGAGACTAGAATTCATCTTTGGCAAGGCAGGTCATTGAAACCACACCCTTTCCCCAAAGCCAGATGTAAAAACGAAAATCACTCCAAATCTACCTCCCTTTTGCCATAAGAGTTGACCATCTGAGGTTCTCTCTCATTCTCTGATTGTATATCACAAGGTCTTTTTTTCCAGGAAGGGTCTTGTGCCATATCTAGATAGACCCTTTGGATTCCCCTCTTAGTCCATTACTATTAGGCCAGACTCTTTCTGACCCATGATATTTTGGTGTGGCTGTCAAACAGTACACTCATACTCTTGAGTCTTCCTCAGCCTTCAGGCTCCTGTGTCATTTAAAAGTATGATCATATAAATTTGTTATGATTTTTATGTTGTAGCCCATCTTTTGCTATAGTTGTATTGGCCATTAAACTTTATGAATTGCAAAGGGATCCCTTTTTTGTTCCCACAGTTAATATAATCAACCTTTGGTTGATTATACTATAGGCAAGACACTAGTAAAAAATATGTATATTAATATGAAATCAGCAGGGCGGTGGTGGCGCACGCCTTTAATCCTAGGACTTGTGAGGCAGAGGCAGGTGGATTTCTGAGTTTGAGGCCAGCCTGGTCTACAGAGTGAGTTCCAGGACAGCCAGGGCTACACAGAGAAACACTGTCACAAAAAAAAAAATTAATATGAAATCAATGAATTACTTTGAACACCTTCTTAAACATAAGATATTACTGTTGTTCTACTCATTGTCAACCCCTGCCTCCTCTAGTAGGGCATAAGATCTACTGTGAGAAGAAAGCAACTGATTAACTGAATTAGTGTTTCGGGGCTTGATCTCAGCTTTCCTGTTCTTTGGTCACTATTTGAGCTTGGGTTTTACCAGCTGTCAAGTGGAGATAGTAAAATCTTGTTCGGAGCCTTTGAAACTTGAACTCAAGGAGGAGACCTTAAGATTCATCTTAAGGACTCTAGTCAGAGGCAGTCAGACAGTGGCCCAGGTCTTAAACAATCGAGTAACATAGGAAGGGCTGGTTGGAGTGAGATGCAGGTTCTGGTGGCTTTTCTTCTTGTGGAAATGTGGAATTGGTGAGTAGGATCTTTTTCCGGTGCAGTATCTGGCACAGGAAAAGTCCACTTTCTCAGGTAAAGTACTCAGTGAACCGAAAGGACAATTGTGGCAGAAAGCAGTTGGAAACACTGTCTCAGAATTCTGATTCCAAACATTATCCTGGAGGGCCAACATCTGTCTTTCTCTTCCTCTTCTTTTTTCCCTTTCTTACCAGTTTTCAATATTTACTTGACAAGCCTTTGGTATTCACAGGACACTGTGCCTCTGATGTCGCTTTCTCTCAAAACGTGGGACACAGAAAGCTTTGGCAAACCCATCTACAAGGCTGTGCAGGGACGAATGGGGTGGTTGAGGATGGAAGAATGAGATGGTTTACATCATGTAATCTAGCCATTTAAGGTGGAAAAACCTCCTCACTAATGTATCTCAGTGGTTATAAAGGAGGAGTTAAAAACACAGGTTTGGCAGAGAAATTTTCTGAGTGCTTTTATAGATACAATAATCCCCCATTTTCACCAGGTATATTGTCCATGACGCTGGCAGATGACTGACACTGCAGACACTGTGTACATGTTCATTCTGTACACACTTACAACGGTACAATGGCTTAGTTTGTAATGGTTACAATAGGATTAACAGTCTAAAGTAGAACAACAGCTCTATTGTAAGTTATGCAAATGTGCTTCTCAGAATCACTTCTAAGATCACTAGGTCTTAGCAGACTGAATATATATATATTCCTTTTCTTTTAAGTTTAGAACTTTGTGGGTTTTGTCTTTCTAACCTTGTCTAAAGAGCTGTTTGGCTCCTTTCTGTAGAGGTCTTGGACTACTGGATGGTTTCTAAGATGAAGATTCTACTGAAGAAGGTAAGAATAAAATGGCTCTGGAGGAGTGAAAATTGGCCTTAGTTATCTGTGTTACAAAAAAAATAGCTGTTTACTTGAGGACCCAGGAGAACTTCGGACCCAAAGAATTTGTAATGAATGAAGGGTACAGACAGACACGATAGTTTCCACAAAATGTTAATGTAGCTACAAAGCAAGCAAATCTATACAAAAGTCAAAGATCTTAGATAGGGATGCTTCTAATCCTGTTTTCTGGTGCTGTCACTCACCCAATCTCTACTACCACAGCCACACAATCTCAGAACAAACCACACACGTACACAGGAAGAGTCGTCCTGGAAAGTGAGGTCTAGTCCTGCACCAAAGGTAACTTCTCCCCATTCTTATCCTGCGTCCCACTTTTTCCACCTGTCCTCTCAAGCAAGTTTCCTAGCAGCTAGCCAGGGTGATGGTGAGCATCTAGAATCTCCTGAGGCAGCGCCTGGGCCCCAAGTCACAACAGTGAGGAAGAGCTGGACCCCAGATTGAGAAGCAGGGTTGGAACGTTTCAGAATCCAGGATCCCATGAAAGTAGGTGGGGGGTGAGATTAGAAGCGTAGTTCCCGGCCAGCCGGGCGGTGCTGAGCAAACTCGGAGACTACTGGAAAGAAGTTCTGAGTGGCAGGAATTAAGACCCGTAGCGTCCGAGCTATGAGTGGCGGAGGCGGGATCAGTCCAATGGGGCGGAGTTCTGCATGACTGAGATCGGAGCGGGCAGGGACTTAGCTCTGCGAACTGGGGGCGGAGTCCGCGAAGTGGAGGAAGGAGTTGGGGGAGGGGCTCCAAGAGTTGGAGGCAGGATTATGAGCCAGAGTGGGGCGGAACTGTGGGCGGAGCGGAACTGGGCCCGGCAGAGGAGAAGCCTCTAATCCTGTTTTCTGGTGTTGTCACTCACCCCCAATCTCAACTATCCCAGCCACACAATCTCAGAAGAAACCACACACGTACCACACACGCTCAGAGTGGCAGGGATCGGAACCAATACAGGAAATGCTGAGTGACTGTAGGGCAAAATCTGGCATAATTGGGTGTGAGTTTATGATTGGCAGAATTCTAAACCAGTAGAAATCAGATTCTGCATGGACGGTGGGGTTGGGCTTCTGGGGGCGGGAAACCACGGGATGGGGCGGAGTCTAACAGCAGGGGCGGGGCCTAGGTGAAGGGGCGGGGCTCCGTTGGTTGGGTACGGAGTTATCGCCGTCAGGGGGCGGGCCGGGTTTTGGATTCGCGCGCCGGCCCTGGCTAATCTGGGTGTGGGCGGCTTTTGGAGAAAGCCGGAAGCAGCGACAGCCCCAGCTCCAGAGACATGGCGGGCGTTAAAGGTACACTGCGACCCTCGCCCGCGGCTAGTGGGTGGGGTCGCTCCCGGCTCCAGGCTGCTTGGCGAGCAGCCAGTGTGCTGGTGTGCGGCGAGCTCCTGCAGACCGCGGCCTCCCGGATGGCGGGCAGAGGTGTTTCGCGGAGCCTGTAAACGTTCGCGTCCACGCCCACGCCCGCCAGTTTCCAAGGCGGGGGCTTCCCCCGTGGGCTGTACGTTCCACAGTGATCCCCTGGGCTTCTCAGTTCTCCGTAGGTCACATCAGGGTCCCACATCCTCACCTTCCTGCCCCGCCGCAGTTTCCTGTGGCTTACAGAGGAGCCTTTGTGTACAGGATATGTGTTGCAAACTTAGTCCTGTTGTTCCTTTAAGATTTTTCTCGCTGGGCAGAATTAATTTCGGGCGTGTGGCAGTTTGGAAAGTAACTAGAAATATTCTATTCGACGCAACCTTGGGGCTGCAATTAGGTGGGATTTTAACAAGACATTCTTGAGTGTTTACTGGTCTGTGAACAGACATAGCAGTTAGCGTGCTGTTGTGTTCTTGAATGGTGATAAAAGGGGGTACCGAGATTATCACCTTGATCTGTGTGAATGCAGAGCAATGGGTGTTGGGTGGGGACGAAGTTACTGGAAGGCTTCCTGGTATTTGGATTTCTGGTCATCCGCACAGAGTAGACTAACTTGTCTCTGTGTTGGACTTCCTTTCCTTGAAAACTATCCACAAAGACCTTTCCACTGACCAACATCTGTAAGATGGATACAGTGTATACTATGTGGGTACACTATACATTTATCTGTGTGAACAGCTAGTAAGAGACATAGCTGACTTTGGGGGGAGGGGACTTTTCTATTCCATATCAGCCACATAAACATGGTTTACTTGGACAGTGTCCACTGTATGGTACATCCATTTGAAGGCAGTGGAGAACGAATGAAAAATTGTGTCTCACTACTACAGAGTGTTCAGTCCTGGACAGAAAGTACAAAATAGCAACAGTAATTTATGTGCTTATGTAGTGACAAGGAACACAGGCTATGAAGTAGACAAGAACACATTGAAGTAAAACTTTGCAGATAATTCAGCTGTTATTGAGAGACTATGCTGGAGACTTAGGATAAAAGATAAGTGAGAAGTTTGGTCCGAGTTGATTGCCTCAAATAAGTATATTGCTGTGTAAGTAAATGATGTGTGTTCTGAGACAGTTGAGGACATAGAGATAATATAGTGAAGTGAATCATATTCCTCCATAAGATATGTTTTAAGTTGTAACTCCCTGGTGCCAAATAAGGATATGACCTTATTTGCAAGTAGTAGATGTTATCAACCTAAGGTAGTGCTGCCTTGCATGATGTCCTTTAGATAAGAGGGGCATCAGATAAGGGGGGGGGAAGCACCTTGTAAAGACAGAAGCAGAGGGCTCCAAGATGACTTAGTAGGAAAGGCATTGCTGCCTAGCCTTAAGGCCTGGGTTTGATCAGGGACCTACATGGTAGAAGCTCTTGTCCTCTGACTTCCACACTTGCACATGCAGTATGGTGCATGGCTATAAATAGATAGATAAACCTAAATAAGTAATTAAAAAAAAACAGTAGCAGAAATTGGAATGGTATAGCTGCAAGCCAAGCAGTAGTATAGACACTAGCAGCACTGGACATTAGGCAAGGAAGCCTGTTCTCTTCAGACTTCAGAGAGGATGGCTCAGCCAACACCCTGATTTCAGAAGTCTAGCCTCCAGAATTGAGAGAATTAATGTTCCTTGTTCAGGGTCACACAGGTTGTAATAGAAGAGGCAATAGTTATGTTGACTTTACAGTACTCTAAGGGTTGGGTTGAGACCAGAATATATTCACATGACTGGGCAGAGACCATGACAGAACACATCTTGTTCTTTTCATTTTCACAGGGTCTTGAAGGAAGAATGGGGAGGATGGAAGCTGAAGTTAGGGGTCAGATTGTAGTGAGCCTCTAGTGACAACATGCAGGCTGTGAACAAAATAGCAATGGGTGACACACTCAAGTACCTAATCATCTATGTGGAGGAAGGACTGGAAGATGCTCAGTGTGGTTGCAGGCAGCAAGCATACCAGCTACCCTGCCCAGAGTTCATGAGAAGACAGTAGTTTTGAATGAGGTCCGGGTAAATCAGTTATTTTGAGTTATATTGATTTGCTATAGAGTACAGCTATGGTTTCAGCCCTCTAAGGTTGGTCTTCAGGGGACGATGAAGCATGTGTTCGGGAGGGTGGGGATGGAGTAGGAGCAGGAAGTTATTTTATGTGTTGGAGTTGAGGTCCTTGTTGGCTTTGGTTCTGTGGCACAGTAGTCCAGATTGGAAGTGGAGTTCTCAGGATCTATTGTGTGCTGGAGCCTTGGCTATGACTTGGCCCTTGTACTGTGAACTTGGGGTTGACCTCAGCTTTTCAGTAGTCATGTGTAAAGTGAAGAGAGATGGACTTGAATTGATGGTTAACTCCTACTGAAATTAAGAAATGGCAAAGTGCTGGCAAGGTGGCTTACCAGGTAAAGGCTTGCACAAAAGCCCAGTGATCTCAGTTCAGCCCATGGGAAGGTGAAGGAGAGTACTGATTTCATAAGATTGTCCTGTTTACATGTGATATAACAATATACACCCCCTTTGTTCATATACTCAGTTTGAAAAAAGAGGGAGTAGACAGAGATACAGTTTCTAAACACACACACACACACACACACACACACACACACACACACAGACACACGCACGGCTTGAAGACATCCAGCAGAAGTAGGGTTGTGAAATTTAAGAGATGGTTTGGGAACAGAAAGAAGAAGTAGATCTGTGTCTCACATGCTGTAGGTTCACAGCTGGGAGAGGGAATGCTGTAGGTAGTCTGATACAGAGAAGGGTCAGGGCTACAAGGAAAAGGCCAGGCAACTTCTGAGCTGATAATTATTTGTCCATTAAAAATACCATATTAAGGGAAAAAGATAGAAACTAATATAGCAATTCCTTCTTCACCCCCTGACATCTGTATTCACCAGGTTTCCTGGAAGGGATATTAGTATCTTTCTATTAAATAGCCTCCCTAAATCGCTTAAGTAAAAGAAAGCAACAAAAACAACAACAAAAAAAATCTTAGTTAGTCAGTGACTATATTAGGGATTTTCAGAAGAAAATTTGGATGATCCAGTGTCCTGTGCTTTTGAGTTATTATTTTATCAAATAATATAGCTAGGTGAGTGGAGACCTCTCATAGCCAGCACTGATTGAGCCCCTTTTACCAAGCTCTGTGTATAGATTACCTAACTTAATTTCCATAAACCCAATGAAATGGGATCATCTTTTGTCATTTTACAAGTAAGAAACTAGGCTCAGAGAGGTCCAGCTGCCCAAGGTCATGCAACCAATTGGTTGCAGAATGGCCATCTGAACAACCCATTTGGTGACTGAGAGTCAATATGATGGGCTGTCACAAAACAAAGTGGAAAGGGCGAGTATGTTCAGATGTGAGTATCCTGTGTGTGTAGGGAATAGATACAGTGGCAGCTCATTGGTGATTGTTTCCTATGAAGGCATGAAAGCACTCTTCCGATACTGGAAGTAATTGTGGTTTGGGCACATGGAGACATTTAGGATATAATCATGGAAAGAGAGCAGTCAGTGTTCAGAAAGTGTCAGAATAACCTGCCTACGGTTGTGAGTTCCCTTCACTGCTGTTGACAAGCTTGGCTGACTGCCCTTCTCTGGCAAATACAGAGAACCCATGTAGTAGGGGCAAACTGCTGGGGTGGCAAGAGATCTATCCTCCTTTGGTGTTAAAGAGGTAGACAGAGGCAGCAGGTATCTTAATCACTTTGGGCTACTATATCAAATGAACCACAAACTGGATAGTCTAAGTGACTTAATCCTGCGTAAGGCCAGGAAGTCCAAGATCAAGGAAGAGACAGAGCAAAAAAAAAAAAAAAAGAGAACTGTAGTTTATTTCTCTCATGTTACGTCATTGATTCTGTCAAAAGAACTCCACCATGTTCTCATCTAAATCTAATGACTTCCTAAGTGTATGGCTGTGCCTGCCTGTTATCCCAGCACTTGAGCTGTGGAGGCAGGAGGATCTCAAGTTGGAAGATTTAAAAGGTACACAGACATTCAGTTATATAGGTTGTATTTGTTTCATAGTCGGATGTAAATCAATTAATGAAATAAGTAAATTATTACATTTGCTTTAGTTTGTGACCTATCCTTATATTCTATATTAAAAATTTATGTGTAGTAGTGGTATGCACACCCATGGAGGTTAGAAGATAGCCTGCCGGAGATGGTTCCTTCTTCTACCATGTGAGTCCTGGAGATTGAATTCCGGTCAGAAAGGTTGGCAGCAGGTGCCTTTATCTGCTGAGCCATCGCCAGCCCCTTGCACCTCTTTAAGTGAAAATGTGTTGTTGAGATACATATTTATATGCCATAAACTCAGCCTTCTTAAATGTGAAGTGCATTATCATATTTACAAGGTCATGCTGCCATCACTGCCTTCTATCCCCATGACATTTGTCATCCCTTAAACAAAACACTGGGCTTATTAGTGGTTTCTGGACTCATCACCCCTAACTCACTACCGACTAGAACCTTTAACATGAAGTTGTGTTTTCTACAGCTCTCGTGGCACTGTCCTTCAGCGGGGCAATTGGGTTGACTTTTCTTATGCTGGGATGTGCCTTGGAGGACTATGGGTAAGTTGTTTTGAAAAAGAAATCACAGTGTTTATGTGTGTCCATGTCTGTGTGCAGTTGTGTGTGGAGGTGATGTCTCTTTTCTACCTTAATTTTTTTCCCACCTTACTTTTTTGAGACAGAGGGTCTAAGTGAACTTGGAGCTTGTTCATTTGGTTAGACAGGGCAGTGAGCTGTAGGGATCCTTCTGCCTCTTCCTCTTTCAGGCATGCACCACTGCAGCAGACATTTTACTTGGGCGCTAGGGATTGAACTCAGGTCTCTGTGTTTGCACAGCCAGCACTTTAACTACTGAGCCATTTCCTCAGCTCTCAAGGGAATTTCTTTCTGTGTCTCTGTTCCTGTTACTATCAGAGTCTGATCAGTGCAGCCCATGCAGCAGTGCCTGAGTTAGTAAAGTCCAGGTTAGGAATTGAACCCCTTCAGACACCAGTGTATTTGTGTACAGAAAAGCTCTTTTCAAAAAAGAAAGAAAGAAAGAAAGAAAGAAAGAAAGAAAGAAAGAAAGAAAGAAAGAAAGGGATATATTCATTTATAGTTGTTACATTCTGAATCTGGAGGAGCGTGAGAATGAGTCCTGCCCCTAAGAACTTGCAGTTGTAGTCAGGAGGAACTTAGAGAGCGGACAGTGCATTTCTCCTGAGCAAAGATTTAGTGGATACACGAGCGTTTCTCTAATCACAGGCATAGGGAACAGTCAGTAGCCTTCATCCTACAACCCACTAGAGGAGGATTAATCAAGCATATAGAGGTAGCTCTCTGGGGCATTGTATGCCCTGTAGAGGAGGTTAGATCATATGTCCCAGACAACAGGAGCTAGGAAAACAAATGGAATTAGCCCAAATGTGAGGGAGGCTAGGCAGGAATGTGCTGGCTGAGACTGGAGTCAGGGAATCCTAAGGGACCGCTGTAATTGATGAAACAAAATTGGTGACAGTAGGTTTTATAAACTGATATCAAGACTCAAACGAGTCCCACCAGCTGTGCAGGTGAGTGGCTTGAACACCTTGACCTAAAATATGTGACTAAGACCAGCTGGGGCCAGTTGTTGTGACCTTTGTCTAAGGTTTTCTGTTGTTGGGATAAAACACCATGACCAAAGGCAACTTTGGGAAAAAGAGTTTCTTTCAGTTTTTAGTTGTAGTTCATTATGAAGGGAAGTCAGGACAGGAAGTCAAGTCAGGGAGGGGACAGGAACTGAAACAGACCATGGAGGAATTCTAGTCACTGGCTTGTTCCTTATTGCTTACCATCCTGGGACCACTTGCTGGGGTAGCATCACATAGAGTGGGCTGGATCTTCCACATCAATCATAAATCAAGAAAATTGCCCTATAGGCTAGCCTATAGGCCGGTGGTTCTCAACCTTCCCAATGCTGGAATCCTTTAATACGGGTTACAGGTCCTCATGTTACGGTGCCTCCCCCACCATAAAAATTATTGTGTTGCCACTTCATAACTGTACTTTTGCTACTGTTAACGAATAGTAATATAACTCTCTAATGTACAGGCTATCTGATATTTGACCCCCCCTCCAAAGGGGTCATGACCTGTGCACAGGTTGAGAACTGCTGCTATAGGCCAAATGTATGGAAAGCATTTTCTCAAGCCAGAATCCCTCTTCTTAAATGACTCTAGGTTGTGTCAGGTTGGCACGAAACTAATCAGGAAAACATTGCCAAGTTCAAATCTACCATGGAATTAGAAGTGATCACACAAATTGTTTAAATATGATGTAAGCAAAAACATTTGTTCAGAGTTTTCATAGCTACTATCGTATTTTCGTCTCGGGATATGTTGTTCCCCTTCCTGACTGCAAACCAAAGCTCAGAGTGTCAAACCTTGCTGATCGCACAGCAGTAAATGGCAGACATGACTGTGGCTCTCTGCTCTGACTCTTGCTCACGGTGCTGTTGTTCCCGGACTAATTGAACCCAGATGTTTGACTTCCCTGTAATGTGCCGTGTCTCCGTAAAAGGAGAACAGCACACATTACTGCCACCATGAGGAAACTCATTGTATACCTTTGTGACAGTAGCTTGAGATCTTCATCTGCATCAGCAGTTGGCAAACTGGCCAGTGTTGCTGCTGCCTGCTTCTGTGGTTAAGGCTTTGTTGGGACTACCGTCCCTGCCTTTGCACCACAGAGGCAGAGTGTGCACAGGTGAAGAGACCTGTGGTCACGCAGCCACTCATGTTTTCTGTTTGGGCTCTTACAGAAAAGAGTTTGACAGTCTTTGGCCTTCCCGCTTTGTAAATAATGTTATATGTAATGTTCAGATTTTGTATATGAAAAGACTACTTTGAGGCTCAGTCTACTCAGGGGCTGTCTTCTCGGCTGTGCCTCAGAAAACTGCCACAGTATTCTAGCAAGGGTGCAGGGCTCTTTGCTGAGAGATATCAGTTAACAGTTAGGTTCCTTCTCTGTAGCTTGCTTCCTCCACTGGCTTTGTCCTGACATCACCTGATAGCTTTTGCAACAGTACTTTCTGCTGATTTCTGGAATATATTTCTGGAATCTCTTCACTTTCAAATGAGTTTCAAGTGAAGAACCCACATTCATTGTTTGCAGACAGAGTCTGCTTGCTTGAAGGACACTCCCTTCTGCTTCCTGGTTATCACCCTGACTGACTTCCTACATCTGTGGCTTCACCCCAGCCTGCTCAGGGTTGCTTGCTGTGTGGGTGGATCTGCATGATTACAGTTTGCTGATGGTGTGTCTGTTATTGTTACGTGTGTTTATGATAGTGACTGGCTGGTGGGTTATTTTTTTTTAATGGGTGTCTAATTGATGGTAACAAGGATGATACATTATTTTGAAAGTATTTATAGGGAAAACCCAGTTGGAAATTCAGTGGGAATTCTTAGCCAGTGCAGATTGTTTTGCTTTGTGTTAGATTATATTTGTAATCTACCGTAATAGGTACAGGTGGGGTTGGATACATCTTGTGAACAAATGTACATTCTTCATTCCTTCCATACTAAAATCTCTTTTTTCCCCTACCAATGGAACATTCCATTCTCGGCTCTGGGATAAATGGAGATTGACTAAGACAAATCATATCTCTGTTGTAATGATCACAAATATACCAGGTGATGCTGTGCAGAAAGCTAGAGAGGGGTGCTGTAGCCCAGGGTCAGCTGGAGTCACCTTCAGGGAGGGATGCCCCAGCGTAGACTGCACAGCAGTGAGAAGAGCCCAAGGCAGGTTTGAGGTCTGAGTGTGTAGGGAGAAGACTGCAGTGGCTGTAGGTTCAGAGAATGAGGGTGGGGTTCTCCAGAGTGCATAGAGGAGGAGACATAAGGTAGCAGATAAGAAGCCTCATGTGTGCCTCTTCTACATCATCGGAAGTGTTCATGCACTCAAAAGATCTTCATGAAGCTAGCTCGTGTAAGCCACTGTACTGTGTTCTGTAGGGAAAGCAGAGGTGGCTTTTTATGATCTTGTCCTTAGAGTTGCTCATCAGGGCCAGCGATGTAGCTCAGCAGTAGAGTGCTTGCCTAGCATGTACAAAGTCCTTTGTTCATTCCCCGGGATATGAAAACTGCAGATCTCTAACATAAAAAACAGTTGTTTCTCAACACTGAATAGTTGTTTCTTAATATAATATAAGCTGCATATGTATTAGCGAGTAAGGAATAGTTTTCTAACTTTATCTGTGCCTGGTAGAAATCTCCTCATGTTTTAATATTCATAATTGATTTTACTTAGACATTTAAAATAGTGATGTTGAAACAACAGTAATGCCTCTGTGTTAAGATGTAACTTTTCTTCTGGGTTTCATCCGGGTTCCACTGGACAACAGCGTTTACTGGCCCCTGTTCGTCTTGATTTTCTACGTCATCTCCCCCATCCCCTACTTCATTGCCAAAAGGGTCACATATGACTCGGACGCGACCAGCAGTGCCTGTCGGGAACTGGCGTATTTCTTCACCACTGGGATTGTTGTTTCTGCCTTTGGATTTCCTGTTATTCTTGCTCGCGTGGCTGTGGTGAGTTCTGTTCTCTGTTGTTTTACTCTGGTCAGAGTTTCTTTCAAAGGCCTATATCTGAGGCCTCGAGTTTATTTTCGTTGCTTTGGCTCTCCTTGGAGCCTGCTGTAGCTTTAGGTTCTCTCTCCTATTGGTCAGAGTCTTGGCATATCTTCAGAGTGCTTTTTTTGTTTCTCTTACAACTTTTAGTTAAAGCATATGACATCTTGCTTTTCCCATATTAAGCTATTCTCTTCAGTCATTCCTATATTCCTGCCTCTTAAACCATGGGGCAATCCGTAAGTCAATCAATACAAATAAGGCTTTCCCAATCACAAAATGAAGGGCATTTCAAAGTGGAACCAGGGACTGACTTCTCAGGAACTCTGGGATGTACTGAGGAGTACCCAGTGAGTGACATTGCCACACCCAATGCAGGCTTTTGTTTTTGTTTTTGTTTTTTTAAACTGGAAAATAAAGATTGTGCTATAATTTACTCAGATTCTTGATGTTCTCTGACTTGCCTGCTTTTTGTTTTTATTCTACCAACTACATAGGCTATCAGAAATGTACAATTTTGTTTATTCATTCAATATTAAAATATCTCAGGAACATCTGCTATTTATGAAATGCCAAGAATAAAAACTCTATCCTGTCAGCACTTAGAGAACACAATGGTGGCCTGATGAGGATGTATGCTAAAGAATACCGCATATGGGGAGGGAAACTGATAGGAGTACCGTAGGAGGACCAAGAGACACATGTCAGCTGCTGCTTGGTAAGGGCCTCTAAGGCCAAATAGGATGCTGATTAAAGTAGGGAAGGAATGCCACATGAGTGTGGAAATGTAGTGTGTGGCATAAAGAACAGTGTAATGTGATAAAGCAGAAAGGTAAAATAAGAGTTAGGCCAGAAAGGTCCCTGAAGCCTGCTCAGCCAGAGCCTCTAATGCTGCCTCAGCTTGAAATTTACCTAAGCATCGAGGAACTCTGATGCTCTGAACAGAGATGGCTCAGGCCTCATTCATCAGCCTTAAGTTTTGTGGTAAGTCTTCCTATTTTTAGCCTTGTGGTGGTGTTAGGAGAAGCCACTTTAATTGATATTTCTGTTGGTTAACTTGAAGCAAAAAAGAAACGTGTCCACTAGAGGGCACTCTCATCCCCAGCTATGCCTCCATGGATCCATCTGCCCAGCTATGGATCATTGTTGAAGGTGTGTGTGTCTTGCCTAGAAAAGAAGCAAACAGATTCATTACTTTCCAGTTTCTGTTCTTTGTGAAGGATGGTGATTCCTGTGGAACTATTTGCACCTAATGTTGTAATTGGGTCATTGATAATCTTGCTATATGTGTTTTCCTTGAGGTAGTTACTGTAAACTAAAAACAAGTAGAGATGAGTCTCCTAGGGATACTAAGGATGATACTAGACTTAGTTAACAGACATTGTGGAATCAATTAACATGACCGGGAAGTTCACTGTCCTTCACCCATGACATTACTTAGCCCCTTAGCAGCGTTGTGTCATGCTTCAGTGGGGGATGCAGAAGAGTAAGTCTGATGCAGAAGAATAAGAGATTCATAAAGAGTACAGCCTGAAGAGGAATTAACCCTTCTCTTGTGTTTCAGATCAAATGGGGAGCCTGTGGTCTTGTGTTGGCTGGCAATGCTGTCATTTTCCTCACAATCCAAGGCTTCTTCCTCGTCTTTGGAAGAGGAGATGATTTCAGTTGGGAACAGTGGTAGCACCTCCTTCTCATGGAAATCATTGAGTCTTAGAATTTGTATTGTACGTATATATGTGCACATGTTGTGTTTTCTTAGAGATTTGAATATGCTGAGTTTTTTTTATACCTTTATATCATGATCATCTTAGGGAAGATGTTGTAAACAAAAGATAAGTTTTACTCCTGGCAAACAGTCACTCCATTGACTCAGAGTGAATTATTTTTATCTTTTGGTTCCCAGAAGACCTGTTACCATGGTCTTGTAGACAGCCGCTCACTTAACCAGGGGCTCTAAACCTTTTGCTTTGGGATACGATTGTGTAATCAGAAACACTGGGGCAGATCTTTTACAGCCCAAACATAGGTGGCACTCTCCCTAAACACTGTAGACTCATCTCAGAGGGAGTCTCATCCACACAAAGCATCAGCATCTGCTAGGGGCCTGCTGGGGATGCAGGATCAGAAGCTCCCATCAGACTGGGTACCTTTGATGAGATTGCACACTTGACACATGCAAATTGATGTGTGAGAAGATTTGTTGTAGAGGAATAAACACCATAGCTCCCTTGTCTTCTCTGTGCACAGCCACTTGTCCTCTCTGGGTGTTGCATGCTCATTTGCAGAAAAAAATAATCACCTGCCCCATGTTGTGAATGAGTTCAGACTTCAGGTGTTTCTAACATGTTTAAGTCTATAATATTTATGTTGTTCCTCAAATTTAGGGGACCTGTTCTTAGGAAGGAACAGATAAGATCATCTAAAAGGCAATGACTGATTGCTCAGAATAAGATACAAAATAACCAAAAAGCCCCTCTGTGTTGCAGGGAGGGAAACTGGGCTGGAAATGGTCCCTGCTTTAAGTGGAGGGCAGGTTAGACAATTCTTGGAAATGTTCCTTCAAGATCTTGTGCTTCCCTGTCCCTCTACAGTGCCTCCCATCCCCCACTCGACATTCCCTTGCCTTTTGCTCTTGATGGTGGGTCTCCTGAAGGGTGAGTCGAGAGCAAGCAGAGAGGAGGGAGTCATTGGAGTCACATGGTGGTGCACTTTTTGTCCTTTGTATTGAACTTGATGTCACCCCCACAGGAAACACAGAGATCCACATCATGTTGGTTCTTATAAACAGTTTTTCTAGCTTTTTTATCTGGAACCTATCAGGAGGAGGAAGTGAGAACTACAGCCACCCAATCAGGATGCCATCAGCTGTGTTTAAGTGTTGATGCTGCTAGCTAATGAATGTTCAGAGCACTCTCCTTTGAGGCTTGTGGTCCGAGGAATCGGCACTCCTGGCCGGGGCTGGTGTGACGGCGGGACCAGCAGATGAACAGACAGAGGACAGTGTGCAATGTTACTTTTGGCCTTGTGCATGACATTATGTTTTTAATATTTTGTGTTCATATAGAATTGTTAGAGTTGTCATTTCTAGTATTTACATTAGAAAAATTATTTAGATACTTAATCATTTAACTGGCATTTTTAATCATGACACTTGCTATTGTAATAAATTTGACTTTTAACACTGAAGGAGAGTTGAATTTCATAAATCTTTAATCTTGATTTACCTTGTTTAAAAGAGTGATGACAATTTCTTGATACTTTGGAATGGGCAGTTCTGAGCAGCGATCCTGTCTTAGAATGGACCTCTGTGATACCATTTTGACTGTCCTGTTGGCTGTAATAACTTTTCTTTCCTTTTTAATTTATCTGACTATTTTTGGAAGTGTCTTGGTTGTTTGATTATTTCAAATAACCAAGATAGTGTTCATGTAGGAGCTTAAAGTATTGCTTTTTTCCTCTTCCCTTTTTCTTTTTAATATAGGGACTTACTCAGTAGCCCAGGCTACCCTGAAGCTCACTTGATACTTCTCTTTCACCCTCCCAAGTGAATATTGGGATTATAAACACATATACCATATCTGGCTTAAGAGTTATGGCTTGATTTTATTTCTAGAAGGATAAAAGGTACCTGTATAAAGAGTATTTGAGAGGCTGGAGAGCTGGCTCAGTGGTTAACAGCACTTGGTGTTCTTGCAGAGGACCTGGGTTCAGTTCTCAGCACCCACATAAGTTGACTCAACAGTAATTCAGTGCTTTATGGCTCTGCGGGTACCTGCACATACACACACACACACAGGCACACACACACACACACAGGCACACACACAGGTGCACATACATGTACATAAAATAAAGTTTTAAAAAGTATTTGAAGTGATAGATTTGTATTAGATTTGATGTGTGTCTAAAAGAAGCATTTATTCCGTAGTGTCGAGTATTATAAGCAGTGTTAGCCATATAGGAGTATTTACAGTTTTTTCTTGATCAGAATGTCTTTCCTTCCAATAACCACCGATCCTTACATTGTAGAATATATTTAAAAATTCAGAGCATATGGATTACATTTGTAAAATTGAGACTACACTTTAAAGACTTGCCCACAAGTAAGAATTCTCATGAGAGGACTGACACAGTCTATGAAGTAGCTTCTAGGAGAATGGGAAACACCCTTCCACGGCCAACTTATTATGAGTGAGCAGGAACAGATAAACTGTGTTGGCCCTGACCTGTGGGTATGAAGGTCTCTACCATGAACCAGGAGTCCTGTCCCAAAGGTGTGAAGAAGTTTTGGAGGAAAGACAGTGGGGGTTTCTACCTCTTTTTCAGAACAAGGCCTTTCTCCCTTTCTTTTCACTCTTCCTCCTGGTACCCTTGCTGCCTAGGCACCTTCCTGTGAGTTTCACGAGTTCCTCTTCCAACCAGGAATCTTCTTTTTACCCCATCCTTCCTCCCATCTCTTTTCCTACTTCAGCTTTACCCATCCTCACCCCCCTCCCGATTCTCCCCACCAATCAGCTTTCTAGGTACAACCGACAAACCATGTGCTGTTGAAAGTCGTTTGATTCAGTTTCCCACAGAAGGAATAGATACCTTCTGTTTCCTTCCCCTTCTGAAACTGGTATCCATACCATCAGGTACCCCATGCGCCACAGCTGTGTGCTTGTGAGAGTGCCTCCATCCTGGTGCTCAGTCACAGACAAAAAGAGCAAGCAGCCCAGCCATGTAGAGAACATGATAGTGTTTGGGATGAGACAACCCATCCTCTCCTTAGGCCAGGGTTCTCAGTTGTTTTCATGTTCATAGATGTTTATTTGATTCCCCAAAAGGAACCCATGGGTGTTTCTTATAGACCTCCAGAAATCTACCTCTTAGTTATCTCCTCACTGAGAATTTTTCCAGAAGCTAAAAATGTCAGAGATGCATCAGTGGATAAAGAGCTTACTACCAAAGTGTGTAGAGTTTAGATTCTTGGCACCCACCTAAAAAGATGTGTATGCAGGGTGGCCCACCAGTAATCCCAGCACTCAGGATCCTTGAGAAGTTGGCTAGCCAGACTAGCCCAACTGGAAAGTATAGAGCATTAGAAGAAAATGTCTGACATCAACTTTGGCCTCCACAGATATCTCTATGAGATATCTGTGAGATATCAGGGTCTACGTAGATGTATGCACATGCTCACATACACACAGGAGAAAGTGTGCTGTACTGAAAAAGGGAAACAAATCTAACTGCAGAAATGGCATATATATAAATGTGAAGTGGCACAGAGGTAACTCTTGGTCCTCATGTTCTGTAGGGAAGATAGGATCTGATGTTCACAAGTGAGTTTGGGCAACTAGATCACAAGTTAGTTGTTTGTGTTACCTCACCAGCTGCTCAGTTCAGTTACTAGAGACAGAAACTTGGCAATGCTGATGTAAGTATGAAATGTCCCCCAAAGAAAAGTTCCCAAGGAAAACCATAGGTAACAATTTTGAAAGAACTGTCCATCCTTAGCACTGAGAATATGGGTCAGGTGAGAGAGTTGAGGCTGTTCACTGGAGCACAGCACACCTTGGAGATTGCAAATGGGTCCCATCAGTGTTAACTGTCTGAAATGGATGATAGGGTACTTCTCACACATCCAAATTAGTGGATAATAAATGTATACATTCATTTTCCTTTGTCAAAAAATTTTAAACTTTAGCAAGTTAAAACATGAATGTGCCAGGCTTCTGTCTCCACACCTCGTTCCCTCTATGACCATATTTTACCCAATGTAACAGTTCTTAGAGCTCCCCTGAAAGTCTTCTTGTTCCCTGACACAACCACAGTTCTCTAACATGTGTGACAGAACGGCCTGTGCTCCAGAAAGCCAGATTTCAGCACTTACCTCCACCCCAACAAACCCCTTTCTTGGATTTCTTTGATCCAGGATCTCAGTATGGAGCTCTGGCTGTCCTGGAATTCACTATGTAGACTAGGGTGGGTTCAAACTCACTGAGGTCCTCCTGCCTCTGCCTCCTGTATGCTGGGATTAAAGGTGTGTACCACAACATCCAGTCTGGTCACCCACCTTTAATAAACCAGCTAAAAGAGCCAAATAAATAGTGAAATGAAAAAAACTACAATAAAATGGGGGAGGGGGGATTAAGAGTTACTCAGTAGGGTTACGTTGGGAAGAGGGAAAAAGATCCAGTGATTTAAGTCCGTCTTTTGAATCCTAACATGAAGGTTTAGGATTAAATATCCAGATCTATACATAATTAAGCAGTCTGGTCAAGGTGTGGCCATGTCCATCACTGTCTCTGTTCCAGTCTCTCCTCAAGGAAGTCTGACAAGTTACCAGCACAGTGTGAAGTTTATTTCAGGTATAGTGGTTTGAGTAGGTTTGGTCCCCATAGACTCATGTTTGAATGAATGGCTCACAGACAGTAAAACTATTAGGAGGTGTGTCCTTGTTGAAATAGATGTGGCCTTGTTGGAGGAAGTGTGTCACTGTTGGGACAGGCTTTGGGGTCCAATGTTCAAGCTCCACTCAGTGCAGAAGAGGGTCTCCTTCTGCCTGCCTTTGGATCAGGATGTAGGACTCCTTCTCCAGCACCATGTCTGCCTGTAGGCTGCCATGCTTCCTGCCATGATGATAATGGAGTGAACCTCTGAATGGTAAGCCAGCCCCAATTAAATGTTGTCCGTTATAAGACTTGTCTTGGTCATGCCATTGTCTTCACAGCAATGAAACCCTAACTAAGACACCAGGAGACAGTTTCCTTGTCTGGCTGGACCTGTATAATCCATAAGGAATAAACTTCAGCAAAACGTTTCCTACTCTCCGCTCACTGACTTGGTGATTTCTTGCTGTCTCATGGTATTAGTTACTTCTCTGTTGCTGTGACAAAACATGTCACCGTCCACTTACTGAAGATTTTATTTGAGCTCAAAGTGCCACAGGGTTAGGACCCCTAATGGTGGGGACAACCTGGCAATAGGCAACAGACATGGTGGTGGACGCTGAACACTGTCTAGGGTTCATATCTCAAACTCCAAGCATGAAGCAGAGAGTGAGCTGGAAATGGCCTATGGCTTTGAAACTTCAAAACCTGCTCCCAGTGACACACTTTCTTTTACAAGACTTCTCTGAACACCGTTCCCAACTTCGGACCAAGTATTCTTACATTTGAGCCTGTGGGGGACATTTTCATTCAAACCACCACACTTGTCTTTAGCTTTTATAGGCAGGTGGCTTACATTTCTACCTCTAGGACAGACTCCTCTCACCCCCAGAATAGTATCTAGAGCTGACAGTGTGTCCTGATCACTTGAGTCTTGATGTGCTACATTGAAGGCCAAGTTCTTGTTTTTCTTTAAGCTTCCAATTTCTTGGGCCAAAAGACTTGGAATGTTTGAAAGCGCCCTACTTTTTGCCATCTTACAAAACTTACTGTCAACAAATATGCAGTCCATTAGTTTTGGTATTTTTGAAGAGCTGTGCAGCCACCACCTCTAATTTCAGAATGTGATCACCATCCAACATGAAGTCGCATATGCATTAGCAGTTACTCATTTTCCCTTCCCCTCCCCCTAGCAACTCCAGGAAATCCTATGACTCTGGAGCCTGTCTCTATAGGTAACTGGTGTGCAGTGGGTCTGGGAAGGCAAGCATGTGTTGCAGCTCCAGATTAAGGTTGGGTGGGAGCACTTAGCTTGCTGTTTTCTCTTGTCTCTTACCTCAGCAAAGTAGATTAAATGTTTAGTCAAATGGTTCTCAAAGTGGGCATTCTCGAGGCCCTTCTACATTTATTTACACAGTACTTTCCAGAGGCTCAATGGAGAGCACCCCCCGGTGGCTACTAATGCAGTGTATCCTAGCATATTCTGGTGTTCAGAAATTTCCAGAATTCATGTGCATGTTAAAATGTACATTTTTAGAAATTGACTTGTTTTTCACTTGCTTTTTTTCCCAGTTATACCTGTTACATTATCTGCAAACCCATCAACCCAATAAGTGGTTATTTAAAAATTTCCCAAACAAGTTAAAATACAAAATAGCCCCTTAATTGCTGCTGTGGTTTGAATATGAAGTGTTTGCCTCAGACTCGTATTGTGAACACTTTGTTCCTAGGGTGTGCTGTTTTGGGAGGCCCGGGGAAACTTGGGGAGGTAGAGTCAGCCTGAAGGATAAAGGGCACTGGGCATAGATGCTTGCA